CTGGCCAGGAGGGAAGTTTCGGCCATCTGGGATTTTTGGCACATCGTCTGGCCAACTAACTCCCGAAAGCCCAGGCCGGGAAGCGGGATTCGGGACACTGGGGCCCTCCATGTCAGGGTTCATCATTCCTGCAAAACCAGGCAGGCGCATCTGGCTCCCGGGCACATTGGGATGAGGGGCCATGCCCCTGGGGGGCAGAGAGTGCGACATATTCATGCCTTCAGGGAAGGGCTCTGGACCCCCAGGTCCCCAGCCCTCCCCAGGGGTCATCTGGTAGGGAGGGGGAGGGCCTCGGACCACCCCACGAGGCCCGTGCTGATGGACCATCATGTCCTGCAGTGAACACTGCTGCACGACCACCTGCTCTTGCTTTCTTCTCTTCTCCTCATAAAACTCCTGCTGCAGCTTGAGCCAGGCCACCTGCTCAGGAGTCATATGGTCCAAGTGGTCTGGGCCTATGGGTCCCGACTGAGAGTTCATTGGTGGTGGCCCCATTTCATCTGGGGAAAAAGGTATGTCCCTGTGTCCTTGAGGGCCAAATGGAGCCCCTCCATCTGTCCGAGACCCTGACCCTTTGCCTAAACTTTGGGATTGAGCCATCATGGCCTGTATCGGCCCTTCAGGTTTCTTTTGGGGACCATCCAGCACCCCAGCATTTGGGGGTGGCCCCCCACTTTGCCCTCCCGCAAACTCCTTCTCATCAGGGAAAAGCATGCGCTGTATGTCTCTCAGGGTCTGCAATGAGCGCTCTCGATGCTCCAGCTGCTCCTGTGACAGTCCATCCGGATTCTCGCCCAAACTGGATGGGTCCCCACCAGACACCTGCTGAGGAGGACCTTTGGGGTCTGCAGCAGAGCTATTGCTACCTTGGGAAACTGGGCTAACTGCTCGATTATTTGGGGTCGAACTCTGCCCAAATCCTTCTGTCTGCAACGGGGTAGAGTTGGCAGGGCTGCCCACAGACATCACTTTGCTTTCCACGCTGGGACTGTCCTGATCTATGGGACACGGGGGGGCAGTGGATTTGGGTACTGGTGCTGACACGGGTGGAGTCGGCTGCATTTTGGTGTTCTGGGGAGGGTTCTGGTCCTGGGCAGCTGGGGGCTGGGGCTGCGGCAGGGGCTTGGGTTCAGTCCGAAGTGCAGTGATCTGGGGGTTCTGCAAGAGAAAGCCACACTCTGTCACTCACTCTTCTTGCAGCCATGTCACATAAGCAGCGGTGCAACCAAAACATCCTGTCTCAACCCCACCAGCCCACACTTTGCAAGGAAGGGTAGCCTTCATGCAGCGATTACAGAGAAGCACCTTGGCCATGCAGAAACCTATTTTGCTCAAGCATTACAGCAGGTACCCCTTGCTTCTGTGCTAGCTCTGCAAGAGCAATTGGTCAGAAATATACTACCCAAACACTCCAAGACTCAAGCTCTTCTTTGAGTGATCCAAGACATTTATTCACAGAAGGCCGGAACAACAACTGTCTCTCTCTTTTCCACTCTAAAACTTATTTCAGAGTGTAAATAATAATCCACCTCTCTGAATCACACACACACAAGCACATTTACCATTTCCCTTCCCACCCACATGCAGGTATTCCCTACCAAGGGTACAGTGTTTCGTTCCACCTTGCTGTTTGAGATGTTCTGGATATGAAAGGACACGATGGTTTCCACCTGTCCCTTCAACACAGCTTCTGCAGCCCTGCAAAGGCAAACAGATGCACATACCCAGTTGAAGCTAGGAATCAATTTTTCTTAACCACCCTCCCTTCTATACTTCAGCTGGCAGAAAGGAGAAAGACTTAACCACACATAGAATCATAGTGTCTTGGGTTGGAAGGGACCTCTAAAGGTCATCTAGTCCAACCCCCCCACAATAAGCAAGGGCATCTCTAACCAGGTCAGGTTGCTCAGAGCCCCATCAAGCCTGACCTTGAATGTCTCCAGGGATGGGGCTTCCACTACCTCTCTGGGCAACCTGTTGCAGTGATCCACCACCCTCATATTCAAGAATAATAAGAATATTTTTTTCCTAATGTACCACCTAAATCCACCCTTTTCTAGCTTAAAACCATTACCCCTCATCCTATTGCTACCAACCCTTGTGAACAGTTCTTCCCCTGCCTTCTTATAGGTCCCTTTCAGGTATTGGTAGGTCGCTTCATATTTCACTATAGATGAGTAGCAAAAGAAAAACGCTTACATCTACAAACTCATCAGCATTCAGGGTTCATGTCTCAGTTTACACCATCCTGGCTGCTACTCACTGTAAGGATTGCAAAACTATTTGCCAAAAAAAAAAACCAAAAACCAAAAAAACCAACCAAACCCACCACCAAAACCCCACATCTTGAGGAATAAATAACCACTTCTCAGAGGGCAAGAGGTAGTGATATTCTCCCCTCTGGCCCTTTCAGCATCCCCAAAACAAGTAATGACTTTTTGCTACACAAACGCACTTGATGGAGAAAGTGTACTTGAGAATCTCTTAAGAAGGGAGCATAAACGTAAGCCCCGCTCCCTGAAGACATTCAAGCCTCTACCTACTTACTTGTTGGCCATCTCAGTAGAAAAGACGTAAACCACTTTGGATGGAGTCTTCTGTCCACTTGCTGGCTCCAAAGTGGCAGTCAGGCCATGGGAAGGTGTGGAAGACCTTGGGGCTGAAGCATTTGAAGGAGTCATGGAGTGTGGTGTATGCTGAGACTCCTGGGACTTCACATGATCAGCAGAATTGCAGTCTGGAAGAGGAGAAAGAGGAAAGAGGGGAATCACTACCTTGGGAGCTCTTTGGAAACCACTTCTGGAAACTGATCAGAGCTTTTCCTCCTCTGAAACTTCCCACCTCTCCCTCAAGTGCCACTAAAGGCAACTTTTCTATTACACCATGTATCTTCCCTCTAATGCCATGCTGCCCTTCAGGCACCACTAGGAGAAAGCTCATCTTGTCCCTTTCCAAGGCAAGTGGCAGTTCCCAGAGCTGATCCCTTTGAATTCTCTAAATACCACACAGAATAGCAGAAAAACTACATGCTAAAATGAACAAATACAAGCATGTCTGTGTCCAAGGAGAACACTCCATGCAAAACTTTACTTTTTTTTTCCTTCAGCCACCTTATCCAGGTGACCTAGCAAACAGACAACAAAGGAAAGACGGACAACTGCACATCTAGTCTCTTTTTGCAATGCCTCACAGAGGCAATGTTGGAGCCAGGAACTGAACACAGAAATTCCAACTCTCTGGCTTGTGTTACTAGTCAGGGTGCTAAGGGTTATGTATCTGTGTTGACAAAACAGACTTGCATATTGTTCAAAACCCCAGTTACAACAGAGCAGTTCCTGAAAGGCCAAAGGCCAGAAGGAAACCAACAGGTTGCATTTGTACTTTCAAACCCTCTGGGGGAGTTTCAGAGTTACAAAGAAAATTTCCCACCAGATTCAGGTCTGCACTTAAACTGACCGTGAACAGGATATTTACCAATGCCAGCTATGACCACCTCTCCTCTTCACCCACTCTCAAGACCTTTAGACTTCTTTGGCTGGAACTTACAGAACCCCAGACAAATAAATATTTCACTAACACTTGCATAGCGATTCTCCATCTCACAGAGGACTCAGACCAACTGCCTGCACTTGCACATGAGTCCTAGCAAACTTACCTTTGATTTCAGGGTCGTCATTAGGAGTCCCAGCTTCCCTCTGTTCAAAGGAGTCTGCCGAAATGCTCCTCTCTCTCTTCCCCTTCCCCTTGGCACCATTTCCAGCCCCATTCTTCAGCCCCATGCTCCCACCTGGGCCAGGGAGCACTTTGGGGGGGTGACCTCCACTTTTGGGGTCACAGGGAGAGGGCTGGGATTGGCTGGTTGAGCCCCCTTGTTTGCCCTGGTTGGAAAATTTGGAATCCAGCTGGGGGTTGCCAGATGGAGACATCACTGTAGGGGGACGGACCATCACCTCCTGCTTTGATTTGGGGCTACTAGGGACAGAGCAGGGGAAAAAAAAAAAAAAAAAGGAAAATAAGAAAAACATGCCAAAACACACCACGGATTCAGTCAACCCTGTAGGAACAGATTAGAGAGAAGCAGAAACAACCACTGCCACCTTTGCAAGCTAAGACAATTGCTAACAAATAAAAAATGCCTGCAAGCTTAGAGTCATGCAGTTGCTTTTTCAAACATGCCCTGAAAGGGTTATTATCCAAGATGGGATCTCATTGCTCAAGAAGGCACCAGGGCAAGCTACAGACCTGCCAGATCCCAGGAACTGCTGTCACATGAGGACCTATCTCTGGGGCTTCTGTCAATAAAGACAACGGTTTCTATGTGCACAGAGAAGCGCCTCACACCAAGACCAGCTCAGAGTAAACAAACAAGGCACAATAAAGTTCACCTTACCACTCTCCTGGACCCCAACTATATGCCGCAGCTCGGATCACAGCAGACAACCCCCCCACCCCCCCCGCACCTCCCTATCCAGTTCTACAGGGAGCACAAGGAAAACCCAGCATTACTGCAGCATTCATCATATGCTGGGGCGAGCTGCCAGGAAAACACAAACCTCTGACCGTGAAAACAATTAAACCAGCTACAACCTGCCTCTGAATAAGGAAAGAAAAGGATACTATCTCCCTGCACACTCCTGCAAAACGGGGCAGATGAAGCTTCTTTAATTTGCCAAAGGAGATTCAGTGTCTTTCCCTTCCTCTTCCATTCAGCAAATTGCATCCTAAAAATATTCTGCTCCTCTGGGGTTTACAGACGTATTAGCCACCCCTTCCTCCTCGCCCTTGAGTTACTCCATTACTACTGGATCTTCTGCATTGTGTTTTCCCATCATCACTGCCACTTCCAACAGGCAGCACTTGCTAGCATCCTCAACGGGACTCACACAAGCCGTTTCCTCCTTTGGACAGATATCTGACTGAGAGGCATTCCCTCTGAATTACTCTTAAGCTCCAGATGACCTCTAGGAGTAAATAATCAAACTCAAGAATGCTGTCAGTCAGACCATTGTAAGTCCCTGGACACTGCTTCGCTTCCATATTTTTCCTCTTCCAAATTAGCAGAGGAGATATGCTGACCTGCTGCACTGACAGGTGAATGATGCAGAAGATCTCAGTGCACAGCTGATCGGTTCTCCAGGCTGTTCAGGCCAATGATACGGAGGAAGCATTTTGGATGAAAGTACAGACAGACAGACCTTCTGCTGCTCAACTACCCCTCAGGGAAACAGATAATTAGAAGAGGGGGAAGAAGAAAAAAATCCAAGATAGAAACAGCATGTTTACTCTCCTACAGCCTATTCAGACACCTGATGGGAGGGAGGAGGGTGTGAGGAACGGAGAATGCACACCTCACAGGTTTACAGCTTTCAGCCCATCCTGAGCCTAGCAAACATGGAGGCTCATCAAGCACTGTGCAGCCAGTGCTCGGGTACTCAGTGGGTCTGACAGAAGCATAAAGGAGGACCAGTAAGTCACATGCACCAGTCCTTGGCTAATCCTGCAGCAAAGCAGGGACAGCATCATGCACCAATCCAGAGCAGCTGACTGCAGGCTCTTCCCCTTACCTCTGTGTGTTGCCTGACGGGGAGTTCCTCACTTTGGGGTTACTGGAATGCATTGACAGAAATCCTGAGCTCACAGTCTCACACGCACGCAGATGGGCTTTCGTCAAGTTCCTCTGGGGAGTGTGCCGCCAGAGGCAGCGTCGAAGCACTTTCTGCCACCCGCTTGTCTCAATGCTGGCTGTCTGCTTGCCTTTTTCCTCTTTGCTCCTCTCTGGTTTTGCACTGGGCGCTTCCCTCCTGCAGCTCCAGCATTCTCTAGATGCGTGCCTCCTGCTGCCCAGGGGAAGTCTCGCATCTCCAGGGCACACTGTTAAAACCACCCCACAAGAAAAGAAAGAAAACCAGTGACTTTCCAAGCAGATGTGTCTGGTGTGAAGCAGTAGACGGCCATTCTTCCCCTGTTACTGAGAAGACACAGCAGAAGAGCTTTCAGGTGGCTCACTACAGCTGTGTATTTCAAACCAGAGGATGCCCTGGCTGGCAATTCAGTTTACAGGCAGCGAGGCCATCTTCCCTTCATCCAAAACAAATTACTCTGGAGTCAACAAAACAGAGAAGTGCCTCGTATCTGGACACTTTGATTCCGCATCTGTGCCTCAGCTTGAAGACACCTCATAGCAAG